TGCCTGTCCCCCTGCCCATCCTCCTGCCTGTCCCGTGCCTGTCCCCTGCCCGTTCCCTTCCTGTCCTCCTGCCTGTCCTGATTGCCCCCTGCCCATCCGCCTGCCCATCCTCCTGCCTGTCCCCCTGCGTGACCCCTGCCTGTCCCCTGCCTGTCCTGATTGCCCTCTGCCTGTCCCCCTGCCCACCCCTTCTGCCTGTCCTGATTGCCTCCTGCCTGTCCCCTGCCTGTCCCCTGCCTGTCCTTATTGTCCCCTGCCTGTCCCCCTGCCCACCCCCTGCCCATCCTCCTGCCTGTCCCGTGCCTGTCCCCTGCCCGTTCCCTTCCTGTCCTCCTGCCTGTCCTGATTGCCCCCTGCCCATCCGCCTGCCCATCCTCCTGCCTGTCCCCCTGCACACATTGCTTGTCCCCCTGCCTGTCCCCTGCCCCTGATCAGGGCTCGAAGCAGGGCCAGGGGGATGGAAACAGCTCCAGTTTTTTTTTCTGCTACGGGAAAGAGTGTGGAAATTAAATGCTGATTGCCCAATATTACTCATTCCAGGGCAAAATGTAAAGCCATCAAGGTCTGGATCTATTTTAAGGACAATTCACTGCGCCCTAATCCCCTTCAGCAGGTGTAATTTATTTTTTTTAATTGCTGTTATTATTCATACCAATATTATTTCTCTTCTTCACTGCTCTCTAGGAGGTCTGGTTAATGCACCTCATGGGCTGCAGCCTCTGTGTGTGGGAAATCAGGTAGTAGCATCCCTGCACGCCTCTGAGGATCTCTATTTTCGCAGAGGGGAAATAAATTTTCTTCAAATAGGAGTTTGGTACGAAGGAACCCTCATGAATGAGCTGGAAGTGTCCCTCCCAGAGGTCTCCTGGAGGTGGGGAAGGGATGGGATGTCAGAGCGCTCGTTCCCTGGTCAGCACCATAAACATGTGTGAGTGATGGCTCTCACGAAGCCCTTCCCGGTCAAATGGCATCCTTGGAGGATGTGCTTCAGGAGATGCAGGGGATCCCAGCTGTGACTCTTAGCTTCACAGGAAACCATCTTTCCTTAGTTCTGCTGCTCCAAACCCCTCTCTGCTCCAGCACATCCCCACCTCCCCCGGCAGGGCCAGCTCCTGCCCTCGGGATGCTCGCAGGGAGCTGGACTCCATCACCCTGAGCCTGACAAGCACATTCCCAGTACATTGCAGCGCTGGGCCAGTCTGGGGAGAGGCACGCACGAAGGCGCCGTGGGTGGGAGCAGCGTTCCCCACGGATGATCTCCAGCTGCTTCCGGCCTCTTCTCCCTTGCGCTGGATAATTTTGCTGTGCCGAGTGTGTAATTATCGCCTCTGTCATCTCCCAGGCTGGGGCGCGGGAGCAGATGGGAGGATGTTTGTTTTGCGAATCCCACCAGCTGGGTGCTTGGGGCAGCGGGGAGGGCGAAGGGGACGCGGTGGGGAAGGCAATGATGGCTGTGTTCAGAGAAGAGGAAACGTCCCCCCCCCAAGGGAGGGAATTAGCAGGGAGAAACCTTCTCCAAAGGTCCTGGTGCTGCCAGCTGGGAAAGGACAAGGATGCCGTGTTGGGCTGGGAGGAGGAGTGGGTCTGGGTGAGGGATGGATGGTGAGGAGCTGCAGAGGGATGAGCTGTCTTGCTGGCTCCTCGTTTGAGGCTGTCATAGACACGTCCATCCTGTCACCCCACATTGGGGGGCACTCGGTGATGGCATGTGCTGCAGGACTCAGTGTCCTACCACCACTCAGCTGTGTGTGGGGCAGGGAACATCACCATTCCCGCTGCCAAATCCCCTGTCCAGGGAACATTTTCCACGTAAGAGGGATGGGGGGCTGTTTGCGGCAGCAGGGCCCCTCCACACCGGCCTCCGTCCCTCCTCGGAAACATCCCAGCAGCTGTGAAGGAGACAAAGAGGGTTTTCTGCAGGGCTGGATTTTCCTTTGTGTCCCCATCCCTCCCCTTCTCCCCGTGGCGTGCCTTTTATCCAGCTCCCCGTTTCTGAGCACCGAGCCGAGAGAGAGGGCATTGCCCTCGGCTTTCCCAAGTCCTTTCTCAGCTTGAACCCCCTCCATGAGCGCCCTTTGAAATCCCACCATGGCCCTCAGAGGTCACCGATGAATACGGGGTTGCAAATGCCTGCGTGGGCAGAAAGTGTTTAAACGAAGTCACTCGTAACGGCAGCGATGGGCTGCCCTGTCGGAGGGAGGACCGGGAGATGTTTGGTGGCACCCAGGGATCGTGTGGCCACCGTGGTCCCTGCTGGTGTCTGCTGCAGTGGTGGTGTCCCTCTAAGCCATGCTGGTGGCACCAAAGGGTTTCTATGTGTTTGACACGTTCTTCGCATGCAGCTCAGCGATGCGTGCATGCGTCAGATGCGTCAGCCCAGTGGAGGATGCTCGCAGGACGCTGCGGCTCGGCGAGCTGCAGTTTGCTCTGGAGGGTTTCAAACATGAGGGGACCCAGGGGACTCCCCAACGCGTAGAAATCCAGGGCAGGGAGTGTTGTCAGGCGGGTTTCCCATAGAAACGGGACGTTGGTTGGGAAACTGCAGCCAGGTCAACTTCAGCACAGAGGGACAGCTCTCCTCACAAGCCCAAGAGAAGGCTTCCAGGCCAAAGGATTGGTTTCCTTGCTGAGAAAAAGGAAAAAAGGGGATATAAAGCACCCACAGCTTCCACTCTCCACAGGTAGCTCTTGCTGCCGTCCTCTGCAAAGCAGGACAAGCTCATGAACTCCCCTGCTTTCCTGCAGCTCCTATAAACCCCCTCTCGCCCATTACTCCAGCCAGGCAAACCATGGTTGTCCCCAGTGAGCCCTGGTGGTCACCAGGAAGGGTTGCTTTCTGCTGGCAACCTTGGATTCTCATATCCGAGCTTGCAACCTGCCTGGTCCCACCCAAGCTGCATCCCTTGCTGATGGAGGACAGTGTGGGGCAGAGGGCTTTTTCCACAATCCTTTGTGTCCCCTTCCCTGTGTCACAGGGCACGTGTCCAAACCTGCCCTGAAATAAAGCTGACCCTCGTGGGATTGTTCCTTGCTTGGCCTGACAGGTCACAGGGATCAAGGACGGAGCATCAAAACACACGGTAAAGGACAGCATTGCAAGCCTAGAGAGAAGCAAATAACACTGGAGCACAGAGCTGAAACCTTGGGCAGAGGCAGCAAAATTGCAGATCCTCTTCTGTCCTCCATCAGATAACACGTTGTCACCAGCGGTGCAATGCTGCAATCCAAACCTGCAATCCTAGTGGAAATCCTCTAGTGTTTGTGCTGGAGGTTAGCTCTATTTATATTCTGATGAATGATTTACTCGAGTAATTGGCACACAGCTCCCCTATTACAGATCATAAAGAATTAATCACGAGATTTTCAATGCTCCCCTATCAATTTTATTAGGCTTGATTGAACGCGGTGGATTGGGAACATATGGTATGTGAGTCAGACTCTGCTCCCAGTTACACCCCGGTTAATGTTGGGGACTCACTCGGCTGCTGATCCCTGTAAATCCGGAGAGGCAGCTGCTCTTTTCCTTCTCTCCATGCCTCGGCTGCTCCTTGCATTCCCTTAAATGCCCAAAGGTGGAGGGAGCAACCAAGATCAACTACGAAATTCTCCAAAAGCCTCAGATGCTCCCGAACCGAAAGTCAGGCTGGGAAGAGGATGCTTCACATCCAGCTCCTCCATGGATCGGTGTGAGCCAGGAACCGGAGCCAAATGCTTGGGAGCTCGAGATCTGCCCCGCGAGCGGGTGTGGAACGGCAGCCCCTGCGAAGGGGACGTGTCACGGCGTGGGAGGCTTGTCACCATTGGAAGCTGAGGATGCCTGTGTTGGCAGCGGGGTGTCCTGCCAGGCAGGTTCGCCCACGGGAGATGCTTTCTTGAAAGAAAGAATTAACCACAAGGAGTCCTAACACCCGCAGGAGTGGGATGACACATCCCTGCCCCGAACCAGCAGCTCAGCGCCATTCCCTGGAGCAGAAACCTCCTTAAGAGCCGTGTCCCCCGCCTGGCTCCCCTCACGCAGAGAACAAGGAAAACCTCCAAAATTTCCACGTTGATGGCTCACAGCCCTTCCCTCGCTTTTTTTTTTTCTTTTGCCTGTGGGTGTTGTTACCGTGCTGGCTTATGTGCAGAGTCGTGATGCGGGGAAGGGGACGGTACGGGGCCCCGCTCCAGCTCGTGGGCAGTGCTCACCCCTGGTGAAGCTGTTCCCACTGTGCTCCCAGTAACCACACCGGTATCTTGAGTCGATATTTACTGGAGGGAAAGGGAGCCTTTTGGGTGTAGATGGAGCTACTTGCATAAGCAGGGCTTATCCTGAACCAGGCTCGCAGAGCAACCGGTCTGGCACAGCTACAACCCACGTCCCCATCTGCTGTCTTGAGCAGCTGCATTGAAGGGCACCGAGAAGTTATTGCCAGTAACTCTTGGCAGGAGCCAGCGAGGAAAACCTCCCTCCAGGGAGAGCTGATCTGGGGAGGGCAAATCAGAAACGCAGCAGAGGACGGAGGAGGATCTGCCCT